TTTTTTTTCCATTTGATGGATGTAAAATAATTCTTCCTTGAATATCTCGTTTCCATCGACATATGATAATATAATGATAGATATTTGGACCCCATCTAAGAAGAATACCACGTCCTTGTATACCTGTACGACCAATTGGATTTAATGGAAGACCATTATATTTATTTATATGATAATGATGATAGACACTACGACGATCGATAGTACCATCAATAGTATTGAAATGAAGTGAAATAGAAGAAGGAGATTTTAATAAATCTAAAAATTATTATTCTAAAAACAAATATATTTATTTGTTTTGTTTATACCAAGATCTGCATTTGGATTGATATGAACTTCTTCAGCTGTAAATATAATCGGTTTGTATTGCGACCATTCATATGACCAAGGTACTTGAATATCATTAAGTTGTGTTCGAAATATATTTTTAAACAGAGGATAAGGATTTAATCTTGCTCGATGATGAATTCGTTGTTTTTTACCAATATAATCATCATCATCATCTAATCTATTATGTAATGTCAGTGAATGTTCACTTTGAATATGACCAGTTCGATAATTATTAATATTGATATCTTGAGTAGGAGTATTTGAATTTAGTGGTGTTCTGAATTGAGAAGAGATAGCTGTTATACAAGCCTGGGTAACGGTATCACGTATTGTATCCAAACATTGACGCATAAAATCTTGAAACCATTCTAAATTATTTTCAGTAATATTCTGAGTGCTGACCAATCTTTTAGATATCATTTCTAAAATAGAATAGATGTATAAAATAAGACAAAATTAAATTGAATTTGTATGATTCTACCATTCCGTTTTTGTGTTTGAAACACGTGATAATCATTATTATTTCGTTGTTTTTTGTTAGTATTCTCTTCTTTATCATATGTTCTTTGAGTGTCTTTCGATGAAGATCTTTTCCGAGAAGAATATTGTCGATACGATGTTGCTGCAAGTATTTGTGCAACTGATTCACTGAATTCAAGTTGAATTATTGAATTTGATTTTGAATCTTCTATTTGATCTTGTTTATTAGAATGATTCGTTATGGATGTCATATTAAATGAGAAAAAAAAAATTGGCTAAGAAAAAGCTAGGAAATGAAAATTTTGAATTTATATTGTCAAGGAGATTCTTATGTAGTTGATAATAAATAAACTAGATTGCGCATTGATAAGTTTCAAGTTTTATCTATTTCCTTTGTCTTACATATCAAAATTTGTTATTATATTTCGTGATTACCTATAAAATAAGAGATAATTGCTTAAAAGAAATATCATCACAACAATTAAAACAAGTTCTCAATATTTTAGATCGTGTCGGTGATGTCGAAATCCCAAAACGAATGATTGAAATTTTAGGAGAAGATATCTATGTAAAATATTGTGCACAAATTCAAATTTTAAAATTTCACGAAGATTCTTTATTTACTCGACAATAATCATTTCAATATTGTATTTATTTTATTTTATAATCATGATAAATATATTTACGATTGTTAATATTGAATACAATCTTTATTTTTGTTAGAAATTGCCATTATAATGCAATAGAAGTTTTGTATAAGATATAACTACATGTTGTTTTTGGTCATCATATATTTATATCACATTGCTGTTTGTCTTACACAGTTTTGTATTGACTTAATGATGTCAACAATAAATATTATTAATCTATATTTATAATTAAAACGAATTTGAAAAGAAAACATCAATGATTCAATATTTTAATTTGACTGTTTTTTTCATATAAGTTCAAATGGTTAAACAGGAACCAGTTTTATTTTAAGCAAGTGAATATCGATAAGGAAGTTTATGAGTAGATCTCATAAAAGGAACTAAACGAAAATTATGTAACTGGTAATCATTCAGTTGATCTAATGAATTCGTATGCAAGATTGTTAATATCTAGTTATAATATGTATTATCATTATTTTTTCGTTCAGTGTATTACATATGTATATATATGCTCAACTTGCTTAATCAACTAGATGTAACACAAGTTAAATTCATATGCAAAAATGCGATGTAAAGCTTTTTCGATTATTACGAAAATAATAAATTATATTATTTCTATCGAATAAGATCTACAATTATAAGGCGTATGATCGTTTTTCTCAAAGTATTGAGTTTATTCATGTTTTTTTTTTCATGAACATTTGGTCAAGTTCTTTTTGTAAGAATATGAACTCGTCACATTCACAAATAGTTTTAAAACAAAGAGGAAGATGTCTTTTGATTTTAAAATATCTGTAGTTCTACAACATCTATTTTAATTTTCTAGCAAATATAGAGCTTTGCATTATTTACATTGGTATATGTTCTATCATGTTAGTAACAGTATCGAAACTATTCTGAAAATATTCAACTAATGATTTCCTTTTCAATTATTTATTTCAATCAGTTAATAGACCTTGAAAGAAAATTCAAAGGGGACATCATGAATTTTGCTGCTATCGTAGTCAAGGAGGAAAAAGTGCGTATCTTGAGAGCCACTCTGATCAGTCGGGATCTCCTTTCTACGTTGATTGAAAATTATTGTAAAGTTTATCGATTTTTGATATAATATAACTATTTACAGCTAGGCAAATAAATAACACAACTAGATACGATACTACTTTTGAATGTATACAGAACATTTTTAAAATACAAGTTTTATTATTTACAAGACAGCTCTATGGTGAGAGTATGGATAATCATTTATCCTCCACCCACACCCTCAAAAATCTGAAAAGAATTACATAGATATTTCGAATTTCTTAAAATTCAAACATGACTCTTGATAGGAAAGAAAAAGAGATTCTTGCCTGATCTTCAAGATCAACATCACGTGATGTCTTTGTATACATGTGTCTATATATACCAACTACTATACTTTATTTATTTATTTTTAAACAAACAATACTTGAGTCGCATTCCAAAAGTAAGTAAGTCAGAATATTTAAGAAGATAATATACATATATTGATTCATCTCATTATATCAAACTATAGCTGGTTTTAAAATTTTTGGATGACTATTTGAGCAACAAATATGAAGAAGGCGAATCTTAGTAATAAGTATCAGTTCTTAATATAAATATAATATTTGAACTAATTTTCTATTGTAACTTTCATGTAAATAAAATGGTTTTAATATTTTTCTTTCTTTATTTTTATGTAAATACATTATTTTTAATATTTATTGGTTGTTAAATAAACGTGTTAGATGCAAGAAAAAAAAGAAATCAGGAAAGAATCTTGTCTGATTATTAAGAAAATCAAAAATTTGGAAAGACGAGAGGCAAAATAGTAGACTATTGACGAAGAGAGAGAAAGCAAAAAAAATAGAATTCGCGGAAAGAATTGTTTCTTTTTCTTTCCCGATTCTATCGGTTAAAAAGTGTCA